CGTCAATAGAAGCAGCGTGACTTGTAATACACACAGTAGCAGCGAGAGAGAAGTCTCCGGAGAGAAGTTAGTGCGCAGAGAAGTTAGGAGCGCTACGTCCGCGCACTAACTTCTCTCCGGAGACTTCTCTCTCGCTGCTACTGTGTGTATTACAAGTCACGCTGCTTCTATTGACGGAAGTGAGCGAGAGAGAAGTCTCCGGAGAGAAGTTAGTGCGCAGAGAAGTTAGGAGCGCTACGTCCGCGCACTAACTTCTCTCCGGAGACTTCTCTCTCTCGCTGCTACTGTGTGTATTACAAGTCACGCTGCTTCTATTGACGGAAGTGAGCGAGAGAGAAGTCTCCGGAGAGAAGTTAGTGCGCGGACGTAGCGCCCCTCAGATTACTACGCCTCACAATATAGTACCCGTTTTATCCGCTGAGAAAATCGACTGTTACATTTTTGTGTTACTATACTTTGCAGTGTAACACGTCTCGTAACTATATACATTTAATAGGGAACACTTGGGTGTGGTGCTATGAGACTTGGGTGGCATCTCTGATTGCCACCCCCCTGACCCAGAAATGGATTAAAGGGCAGAAAATGGATGGATGGATGGATGGATGGAAGGGAACACTTGGAAGAGTTTGGTAGCTTCTAGCGGGAGCTACCTTTTGGTGCTACAAAATATACAGAGGAGGCTGCGGTTGTGCTCCCGTTTTTGCTCCGTTTGCATGACAGAGCGCACGGACTAAGACCAGACAGGTACGTATTAACTAGTCTAAGGTAAGGTAAGAACATTTGTCAGTATGTAAAAACGGTGAAGAAGAAGAAGAAGAAGAAGAAACTTTATTTATATAGCACCTTTCACAGATAAAATCACAAAGTGCTTCACAGGGGCACAACAATAAAAGTTACAGAGCAATCTTAAAACAAATTAATTAAAACAATCACAGCCTTTTCAACTAAAAGCTCGTCCAAACAGCCATGTCTTCAGCTGTTTTTTAAAGGAATCGACAGTGTCGGTCACACGTAGCGACAGAGGAAGGGCATTCCACAGTTTAGGAGCAACAACTTCAAAGGACAGGTCACCTCTGGTTTTAAAGTGGGTCCTTGGGACAGCAAGGAGGTTCTGACCCAAAGACCTAAGGTTGCGACCGGAGGAGTAAGGGCACAGCAGGTCAGACACGTATTTGGGAGCCTGACCATTCAGCGCTCTAAAAGTCAATACTAAAATTTTGAAATCAATTCGAAATTTGATGGGAAACCAGTGCAGAGAGGATAAAATAGGAGTAATGTGTGACCGTCTGCTAGAGCCTGTTAAAAGCCGCGCAGCAGCATTTTGAACCATTTGAAGACGATTCAAAGCAGATTTGTTAAAACAAGTAAAAAGGGAGTTACAATAATCTAAACGAGACGAGATAAAAGCATGAATCACCAATTCTAGATCAGATTTGGATAAAATTAGCCTCAACTTGGCAATGTTTCTCAAATGGAAAAAACAGTTTTTGGCCAAGTGTCTCGAGTGGCGGTCAAGGGACAGAGACTGGTCAAACCAAACACCAAGATTTCTGACGCTCGACTGAACCGAGGAGCCCAGAGAACCCAAGGTGGTTTACAATTGAAGGAATTTTTTGCTCCGGAGCAATTATCAAAGTCTCAGTCTTTTTAGAATTCAACTGAAGGCAGTTTTCACGAAGCCACGACTTTACACTTGAAAGACAATCCATTAACTCTGACAGTCTGTGCAACTCTGACTCCTTAAACGAAAAATACAGTTGGATATCATCAGCATAGAGATGGTAAGAAACATTTTTAAAACGGCTAATGGTTTTTCCAAGGGGGCTGATGTACAACAAAAACAAAATAGGTCCCAAAACAGATCCCTGAGGAACACCGTGTAACAAAGGAGTAGCTTCAGACATAATGTTATTTATACACACAGAGAAAGTTCTGTTGGTCAAGTAGGACGATAACCATTTAAGGACAGTTCCAGAAATGCCAAAGTCAGTATTGAGCCTCTGTAGCAGTAATTTATGATCTACAGTATCAAAAGCTGCAGACAAATCAAGCAGGATCAATACAGAAAACTGACCAGAGTCAGCAGCCATTCGGATGTCGCTGGACACTTTTAGTAAGGCAGTCTCAGTAGAGTGCATTTTACGGAAGCCCGATTGAAATTTATCAAACCTTTCATCTTTTTGGAGAAAAGCAGACAACTGTTCTGCTACCACCTTTTCCACAACTTTGGAGAGAAATGGTAATTTTGATATGGGCCTGTAATTGCCAGGCTCAGCTGGGTCCAAATTGGGCTTTTTTAGGATAGGACTTATCGCTGCCTGTTTAAAAAAGTTTGGAACAGACCCAGACATAAGAGAACCATTTGTCAATTCAACAACATGTGGGGCAACAATGTCAATGACCTTATAAAATAAAGTTGTGGGTATGATATCAAACGGACAAGAGGAAGGTTTCATTTTTTTTCAGTAACATCATAACATCCTCTAATGTCACAGTAGAAAACACAGACCAAGAGCAATCAGTAGAAATAACATTAATGGTGTTTGAGTCAGGCGGTTTCACATTTGCCCTGATCTCATCCACCTTGTTCACAAAGTAATCAAAAAATCTGTTACAGTCATCAATTGAGAAGACAGGCACCGGAGGAGACGAAGGTGAAACGATTTTATGAATTGTATCAAAAACAACCTTAGGATTTCTCCTATTTCTGTTCACAAGATTTGCAAAATAAGTAGATCTTGCCCGTTTTATCATTTCATTTAGAGATACAATCAAGTCCTTCAAATGTAACCTGTGCACCTCTAATTTTGTAGATTTCCATAAGCGCTCTACCTTACGACAAGATCTCCTAAATGAAGAAATTTCATCATTTAGCCATGGCTGGGAATCTTTTGAGGAAACAAACTTTAAGCTTCACAGGTGCTACTATGTTCAGCACTGACTCACAGTGGTCATTGAAGGAATTTACGTAAGAATCCACGTCGTTATTTCTGAGTCCCTCAAAACACGGATCAAACAATCTTGAGAAATTTTCCACAACAGACTGGTTTAAAATACGCTTTTTGTGAACCACGTTTTGAGCGCAAATGCCCACATTGAGGGAGAGATTAAAATACACACAGCAATGGTCAGACACAAGGATGTCCACCACATCCACACAGTCTATGTCCAGACCAAAGGAAAAAACTAGATCCAAAGTGTGGCCTTTTTTATGAGTTGGACCAGAAACGTGTTGTTTTAAGTTAAATGAGTCAGTGAGTGTTAAAAACTCAGATGCAAGAGGACAGGAGGAGTCGTTAATATGGAAGTTAAAATCACCAATAATCAACACTCTGTCAAGTTTGATAATCAAAGATAAAAACTCAGAAAACTCATTAAGAAACTCACGAGCAGGACCAGGAGGTCGGTAAATTAAAACACAATAAAAAGCATGAGTGTTTCCAACCTTAGTCATCTGAAGCTCAAATGAGTTGAATGACTCCGGTGTCATTTGTCTGCTCGGAAAGCAATTCTTGTGAATGAGCGCAAGTCCTCCTCCACGCCGCGCGATCCGTGGAGTCCCAAAAGCTGAACAGTTCGGGGGACACAGCTCATTCAGATGAGTGAAATCCTGTTCTTTCTGCCAAGTCTCAGTCAAGGCCATGCAGTCAAGCTGCTTATTTGAGAATAAGTCACTCAGGAAAGATGCCTTGTTCGCTATGGAACGCGCATTTAGGAGAGCAAAGCGCATCGGTTGTGCACGCTCACCTGGAGATGCGCGCACCCCGGCGTGGCTCCTTGGCACAGCCCGCGTGGTATCCTCCACAGAGACAGCTCGAAGGACACGCTCACGAGTGGGGAAAAGCCTGGCCTTTCGCGTCGGAAAAGACCGATCCGAGGGCAACAGGTGTGTAGCAGTAGGAGCAGTAGCCAGAGATGTGCAGGCTGGATTCCAGACCGACCCATGGACAGGAATCTGACGTAGACAGCGTTGGTTGGAGACAGATCCGGACCCAGCGGTCCAAGACGAACGCCCCCTCGGTTTCCTCCGCCTGGATTGTACGCCAGCCCACGGTCCTCTCTTCCTTCTCCTGGCACGACGCTTCGCTACCAGCAGGTACTCAGGTGACGGCACAGCACATTCGAAGGGTGGAGGGAAAAACTCCTCGTACCTTGCCCTGGTCACACATAATGTCTTCATACGCGCGTCAATGCCAAAAAGCGCTTCGCGATCATAGCGGATGACAGCTGTGACGGTGTTTTTAGTAAAAAGGCTGGACATAACAAAATATAAAGTAATCCAAACGAGTAACCAGCTAAGCGGAGAGGTAGCAGACGCAAAGCCGAGCACAGGCGCCATCTGGTCTCTGGTGAACTATTCCTTTAAGCCGGTGCGTTGCTTGAGAGCCAAAGAACAAATAACCAACCGGTTACCATGTAACAAATTATGTTCATAACGTAAAACATTGAAACAGACCTCCAGAATTCCAGTGGCATAATTCTCAAGTATCAAAATCAAAATAAGTAGATGATAATCATGCCACTCCCATTGTCCTTTGGGCAGAGAGTAGCCGCTCTCTGGGTGTTTTGCACTTAGTGCAGAAATGACGATCTCCCAGGAAATCCTGTGATTAGGCTTAGATCGCTGTAAAGGCCAAGCTTTCATAGTTGTAAAATGCTTACCCCTCGACCCCATAGACCCAATCCAGAATAATTCCCTTGATGAGTCGAAATCTTTATTCTTAATTATTCTAACTCCTGTATAACTATTATTGTATATTTATTTCCATTCTTATGAATTCCTTTACATATATTTTATGCAACCATAATTGTTTGTACCCCTTTTCATTTATTGTTATTAATAATTTCTGTTATTATATATTTTATCTCGTTCATATCACATTTGTTGTTTCAAAGTTCTGTAGCTTGACCAAACACTGTTTATCCCCGTGTCTAAACCCCTTCAATCACTCAAAAGCTATTATATTTACCCACAAATCAGTCCCATTGAATAAAGCTACTTATCTCTTATCTTTCAGTTGGTGCTGGCCCCTCCTCTTCCCACCGGGTTGTGATGTCCAAGAGTTTTGTGCCAGTTCCATTTCCAGAGCCTCTCTGTCATCTATGTCCACTGTCACTCCGAGCTCCTCCAGTGTAGAACGTGCCACCAGCAGTGAGGGGAAAACTTTGGTGCCTGATGCCAGAAATATTCTCAGCTGGGCAGGATACGGCGACTGTGCTTTGATGTTACATTCTTGTAGCTTCTTTATCACGTCTCTGACTCTCTTCCTCTTTCTTTGCACGTCAGATGAGTAGTCTTGGTCAAAGTAGACTTTGTTGTCCGTGTACTGGATATCACGTTGTTTCCATGCCTGTAGCAACACCGCTTGTTTCACCCGAAAGTCCAGAAAACGTACTATGATTGACCGGGTCTCTGTCCGAGGGCTCGGTGCGTTCTTTCCAGCTTGATGTCAATCCCATCCTCTAACTTTAGAGCACTTTTCAGGAAGTCTGTTACAAAAGTCACCATGTCATCTTTCTCAGCTAGCTCTGGGATCCCGTAGATTCGTATGTTATTGCGGCGAATCCGATTCTCGATGACATCACATTTGTTAGCTAGCTCAGTCTCTCTGCGTAGCAAGTAACAGCATTATCTTGTGTTTCGCTCGTTCGTCTTCCACATCACTCACTCTGTTCTCCGTTTCCATCACTCTTTCCTCAAGACTCTCCGTCTTCTGGTTCAATTCCTCCAGTTTAGTCTCCAGCCTGTTAGATGTATCTTTGAACTCCCGAAATGAAGACGCATTTTCTTGTCTTAGCTTCCGCAGCTCGGCTAGCACAACATTCTCAGTGCTAGCTTCCTCCGTTGGTTTCAATGGGGTTTGTGTAGCATCGTTAGCCATAGCTTCTGTTAGCGTTAGCTGCTTCTGGCCTACCTTGGTTTCATCGTTTTTGAACCCTTTCGAGGCTTTTCTTTGTGGTTTCGGGTTGGACACTAATGCTTCTTTCTCACGCAGTCGAGTGTTCATTTATCACATTTGTGAAAGATTTCGTGTATTTTTGATAAGGTCTGTTGGAGCCGAGGGAAAGCGTCCGCTCTAGGCCATGACGTAAGCGGAAGTCCCCTTAAACATATATTTTAATCTAATAAATCTCTCTGTACTGTAGTTTACTTTCATTATCAGTGGCTTTGTGTCAGTGGGATTTTTCTCTATGTCTACTCTACATTCTCAGGAATAAAACTGAACACAGTAAGGCAAATGGTAAACATTCACACTTCTATAGTGGTCAGTGATTTATTTCTTTTTATTATCTAAAGACATTATTGGCAGGCAGTTTGGGATGAATGAACATCAATAATCAAATTGTTATCCTTACAAGAGCTAATCAATTTTAGCAGGTTTGGGGTTGGGGTCAGTTATTCTACAATGGTGTTTGATTCTCTAATCTGTGCTAGCGAATCCACAGCTTTTAAACTTCTCAAAGATATCTACTTTTGTGTTTTTGTGCTATACCCAAATGCATCAAAATGCTTTTAAATGCTTTTGAATCTCTGTTGGTTCTTATCCATCTCATTAATCTAAGCATTAATCTAGGCTACACTCATTAACTTTTTGCATTGCCAATATTCACTCATGTTTGAACACAAGTGAATTTGGAAGGTATCTAATAAAACTGTAATTAACGTTATCTACTTTTGAAGTAAATGTTTGTGAACACATTTTGAAGGAAATGCTCCTTTTACAATTCAAATATTAGCAATGGCTAGAAATATTCTCTATTTTATGGTTGATGCATTTATCTATTTCTAGTTCCTAGTATTTCTAGTATAATCCGAGAGTCCGAGACATTCTTCCCCAGACGCACTCGCTGCTTCCTGTCCGTCAGGAAGTCAGTGATCCACCTGCAGGTGGAAACGGGCACGTTGAGCTGGGAGAGCTTGTCCTGGAGCAGGGATGGCAGGATCATGTTGAAGGCAGAGCTGAAGTCCACGAACAGGACCCTGGCGTAGGTCCCCGGGGAGTCCAGGTGCTGTAGGATGTGGTGGAGGGCCAGGTTAATGGCGTCGTCTACAGATCTGTTGGCTCTGTAGGCGAACTGCAGGGGGTCCAGGAGGGGGGAGGTGAAGGACTTGAGATGGGAGAGAACCAGGCGTTCAAATGACTTCATGACGACAGACGTAAGTGCTACAGGTCTGTAGTCGTTGAGTCCTGTGATCCTTGACTTCTTCGGGACGGGGACAATGATGGAGGATTTGAAGCAGGCCGGGACATGGCAGAACTGCAGAGAGGAGATGAAAATGTCAGTGAACACAGGAGTAAGCTCACTGGCGCAGTATCTCAGAGTGGCCGGAGACACGTGGTCCGGGTCAGGAGCTTTGTGAGGGTGCAGCCTCAAGAAGAGTTGTTTAATCTCTTTAGAGACTATTGTCAGGGTGGGGGCAGGGCTGATGGGTGGGTCGTTAGAGTAGTGGGGGGTGCGGGAGGTGTCAGGGGCAGCATCAAAGCGACTGAATAAAAAGTTCAGTTGGTCAGCTAGCTTGTGGTCGTCAGCACAGAGGGGGGCTTTGGGTTTATAGTTGGTGATCTCCCGTAGGCCCCTCCAGACAGAAGCAGTATCGTTGTTACCAAACTGCTCCTGTAGTCGTTCTCTGTGCCGGGACTTGGCCGCTTTCACTTCATCCCTGAACTGATATTTAGCTGCTTTGTAGCTGCTGCGGTCCATCTCCCTGAAAGCAGACTCCTTTGCTTTCCTGAGCTGCCGGAGTTTAGCAGTGAACCAGGGTTTGTCATTGTTATAGATGACCCTGGTCCTTGTTGGAATGATGCTATCCTCGCATGTGAATGTATGACGTTACAGTGTCCGTGTATTCATCCAAACTATCTGTGGCAGCTCTGAAAAGGTCCCAGTCTGTAGATTCCATGCATGCGCGCAGCTCTTCCACAGCTTCATCAGAACATACTTTGGAGCTCCTCACTACAGGTTTTGAGAGCTTTAGTCTCTGTCTGTAAGCAGGAACCAGATGTATCATGGAGTGATCTGAGAAGCCGAGGGCTGCTTTGGGAACAAAAGCACCGCGCACAGAGGTGTAGCAGTGATCCAGAGTGTTCTCCTCTCTGGTCGGGAATTTGATAAACTGTCTGTATTTGGGTAATTCCTGGCTCAAGTTTCCCTTATTAAAATCCCCCAGGATAATAATCAGAGAGTCCGGGTATAAACGTTCCATACACAGTACTTGCTCTGCGAGTGCACGCTGAGCCTCGCGCGCGTCCGCGCATGGCGGTATGTAAACAGAGGCAAGAATGAATGAAACAAATTCACGAGGGGAGTAAAAGGGTTTACAATGAATGAAAAGATATTCCAGAGCAGGAGAGCAGTGCTTGGAGATCACTGTCACATCGTTACACCAGTTTGTATTGACGTAGAAACACAGCCCACCGCCTCTGCTCTTTCCTGCTCTGTCCTGATGGCGATCCGCGCGGAACAGCTCAAAACCCTGCAGCTCCAGACACAATCCGGGATCCGCTCATTTAGCCAGGTCTCAGTGAAGCAGAGGACACAGGATGACGCGAAGTCCATGTTTCTTCTCATGAGCAGGCTGAGTTCGTCCATCTTATTGCCCAGTGAGCGTACGTTGGAGAGAAAAATGCCGGGGAGAGCCGTGCGCGCTCCTCTCCTCCTAAGACGCACGAGCAGGCCTCCGCGCTTTCCCCTTTTACGGGCCCACACTTTTTTAGCTAGAACATGGACTAAATCAGCCACAGATGCCAAGAAAACCGGCAATAGGTCGATGGGAACGGTGGGTCGGATGTTCATGAGTTCCTCACGGGTGTAGGAACAGCCAGATGCGCAGTTAAAAAGTAAAAACAAAAGAAAAAGAGAGCAGCAAAGAGCCGTGTCGACCGTACGAAGCGCCATCTTAGATCTAGTGAAGATTCTGGATTTTGTGTCACTACCTGGTGAGACATCCACCCTCCTTTTTAATGAAGTCGAACGTAGCCTGTCTGCGTTTGGTCTGATGGATACAGTGATTGGCTTTTGTGCGGACAACACAAACACAAATTTTGGAGGAAAGGCTAGACAAGGACAAAACAACGTGTTTTACAAACTTGATCAAGCCACCCCGTGCAGTTTGATCGGAGTAGGATGTGCAGCACAAATTGTGCACAATGCAGTGCAATCAGCTGCAGACAAACTTCCCTGTGACATAGAGAATTTTTTTGACAAGGTCTTTGGATACTTCCACATATACACAGTCCGAACTGAGGAACTGAGAGATTTTTGTGATTTTGTGGAGGTTGAACATGCCACTCTTCTGGGGACAAGCAGAACACGCTGGCTTTCACTGGGGCCCGCTGTTGAGAGGGTCATGAAGCTTTATCCAGCTATTCAGTCCTACTTCAGGTCTCAAGATAAGGCTCCCAATACCATTATAAAAGTTTCTGGAAGAGCAAGTGTGCGAGGCATGGCTTTGGTTCATTCATAACCAACAAACACTTTTCAATGACTATTTTTTTATTTTTATTTATTAATTTATTTCAGGCAATGGCAAAAGTGAGAAAACGAGGTAATTAAAAGCAATTAAGTAATATAAATAATATAAAGCAAAAAACAAAACAGACAAACACAATAAAAAACAAACAAACAAAAAAACAGTGTAAACAAAAAATGTATAAACAAAAATCTATGGTTTAACATGGCCATATATTTCTGCCTGAAAAGGAGTGGGAGGAAGAAAAAACGTATTTAATCCCACCCCTATATCCCCATTTCAGTGATTAAACGATCAACTTCACTGTTACAGTTCAAGCCAGTATCATACCAGAGTGGCGTTATCACGGGCAACAAGGACATTTACATTGTAACAACAGTTACCAATAATGGTAATAGAAAATATACCAACAATGGTAATAGAAAATATACCAACAATGGTAATGAACAAAAAAAAGAAAAAAACAACAATAGCAAGATTCTATATACTAACAAGGTAATGGAACATTGAGCACATGTTACACTATGAGACAGAGAAAATCTGATTAAATTAAAGACCCTCATCTCTATATTGTAACCAGACCTTATGTTTATAGAACAGTTTAAATCGATGAATAGTTTTACATTGCTTATGTTGTGAGTCCAGTTTATTCCAAAGTTTTACTCCACATACTGACAGACAAAAATATTTACGAGTGGTTTTTGATCTCGGCAGTGAAAAATATCCAAAACCCCTCAAGTTATGAGCTCGCTCAGGAATCGTAAAGAAACGCTGCAGGTTAGAGGTTATAATTTGTTGAATGCTTTATACAAGACTATTGATGTATTATATTTAACAAGATCATCAAACTTTAGCAGCTTTGACTGAGTAAAAAGATTATGAGTATGTTCCAGAAAACCAACCTTATGGATGATCCGCACTGCTCTTTTCTGTGATATGATGAGAGGATGTAGTGTGTTGTGGTAAGTGTTACCCCAGACCTCAACACAATACGTCAGGTATGGAAGAACCAGGCTGCAGTATAATGTACGGAGTGCATTTCCATTTAGGTATAGTTTTGCTTTGTTAATAATTGAGAGGCTTTTGGAAATTTTGGTTTTTATGTGTCTGACGTGGGGTTTCCATGACAACTTGCTATCAATTTTTACTCCCAAAAACTTAAATTCACTTACCATTTCAATTTGGATATCATTAATACTTATTCTCGATTCAGACGTTAGGTTGCGATTCCCAAACATCATCATCTTAGTTTTATTTACATTCAAGGATAATTTATTTGCATCCATCCACTTTTTTATTTGATGTAGTTCCTTGTTAACGGAGATTACAAGCTCATTATAATCATCACCACTGTATAGAATAGTTGTGTCGTCAGCAAATAGAATTAGTTTTAGTACTTTAGATGTATTAAAAATGTCATTCATATATATGTTAAACAGTTTAGGACCCAATACTGACCCCTGGGGGACACCGCAAGTAATGCCAACCGTGTCTGAAAAATACTGACCCATTTTAACAAACTGTACCCTCCCTGTT